TTTTGCCCATCGGAATCCCGATCACTTGTCTCAGCAATACACCGGTAGCATACGTATAGGTATGCTTCAACTCAAAGCGCACAAATTTGACCAAGTCGTCAAAGTCTAGTTGTCTCCAATGGTCGGAGCTAGTGGTTTTACCAAAGGAAGCACCTTTGCCCCTTGAATTCACGCGCACAAAAAACCTCCCTTTACTTCTGTAGTGATCCACAATCCAAGAAACAGCATCAATGATCTCCTCATGGGTGAGTTGGCTGAACATCTCCTTGATGTCATAGGAGGCCGACTCGATTTCCCTTTCTTACCATGGTCGATCTTCTTATTGATGCGCTGTAATCAATCAGCAAGATTCAAGACCGCTTGAAGGTTAAAGTGGCTGTCAACAGGCAACTGAAAAAGCAAATGGTTCAAACCCTTAGCCACCATTCATCCAGTCTTCACCATCGGTTCTTTAAAAGTGGGACATATCGACCGGAAGCGATTAGTATCTTTACGTTTCGGCAGAACATAAGATACTCCAAAACGGCCATTACAATCCCAATGCGCAAACTTACTCAAACCTTCCTCACGTACATCATTTTTCACACAAGCTAATACAACACACAACTCGATAGCCTGGGCTTAGGACGAAAGATCCCATCATTGCCTTCTGGTATACAGAAGGACACATCACTAGCGTTTCACCGACGTTCCGATCGAGGGGGGTAAGTACAAACCCCTCAAACTCCTTTTTAACTGACATAACTTCGTCAAGTGAGATCTTGTCAGAAACATCCTCAGTTGGGACAAAACAACGATGAAAATCCAAACCATTGAAACCAGGCATGGCTCCTTTCAGGTTATACCAATTCGAGAAGCCAGAGACAACTTCCTGTCGTAACAGCATAACACGGTTCGGAGCATCTGGTTGAAGAATATCATTAGCATTTGCTAATTTCTGGTGTCGAAGATTACCATCACAAAGTCGGAAGCAAACATGACCATCCACTTTCGGACGGGATGATCCTGCACAAACGCAGGTAGAAGTCTCACGAGCAGCACAGGCTCGCTGATTGTGGAGAAAGTGTCCGATCGATGGGTTTTTAACCCAAACGATTCGAACCTTCTTCTGTGCCCGCTTACGAAAACAGTCAGGTAGATCACAACCCATAATAGCATCGTTAACAAGCTTCCTCAGTTCAACTAATCTGATTCGGTCATCATACTTCACACAGATTACGAGATCAACAGACATATTAAAACCAAACTTGTCACGGATCACTCGAGATAACAAGCGTCTAAGGTACTTCCTCGTGGATTTCTTACTGAAGTCTTTAATTACGTTATACAGTTTCATCAAAGACTTCAGTCCCCAAGCATAAAAATCAGATATACTTCTCGGGTTCCTCAAAATACCACAAGATAGCCTTCAAAAATCTAGCCTTTGGCTTCCAAATGCGCAGATACTCGATCACAAAGGTACCACCCTTCGCAAACACATTTTTACAAGCGTGAAACAACAGAGTACTTTTACCGTGCTTAACCGTGGAATCCCCAAATTTCTTATGCAACTTCTTCCACCCACCAACCCAAATATTACCTTCGCTGGTCGTGATGGTCAACCTTAGTTGACTACTTTCAAAACTCTCAGTAAGTGCATCAGTCAGATTCAGAACAGGTCGGTCGGCAGTACCAATGCGAAAAGATAATGGTCTAATCACTCGTTCCTTCGTATCCTTGCCCTTACGTTCCTTATTCCCTTTCCGGTTCTTCTTCCTCCCCTTACTGCTCTTAGCACATCCTGCACAGTTCAAAAATGGTGACCACTGTTTGATATACAAATCTTCGAGATTCAGTAGATCATTAGCAGTCGTGTGATYWATCGRAATTAACACATAATTCTCTAACCCAAAGGTGCATAACMATCGGTGGAAGTGAGAGCGTTTCGCGCTACCACATTTCGAGCGGTGCTCATGCCATCGTGTATCCACGTTGCGTGTGGTCTTTCCAACGTACTGATATTTACAGAAAGGAGAAACAGCGATGTATACAACATTAGACAATGAAAGAAAGTTGATACCGTGTGTATCACACAAACATCGCCACGACTCAACAAGCTTACCTTTTCATCTGATTTCCTTTCTGCAGCTCAATACTAAAACACACACAACCTGAGCAGTTCTTCGGCTTCATGGTCAATAGTCTTCAAATGTCTTCTGTATTCCGTAACATAGTCCACAATCCGCCAAATCTCGTCTAATCGGTAAACACATCAAGCCTCTTGTTCCGTGACTTCATCATTAGCAGTTGCCGATTCTTCATCCGGTTGGTCCGCAACAATCGACAGATCGATTGGTTCGATGTCGCCAAAATGAACCCTGGTACGGTAACTCGCGATATCGAATATCGAGTCAACTTTGCCGTTGTAAGCCACTCCTTCATCCTTGCAGGTCCCCTCAAGTTCCAAAGCTCCGAGAGCTCGAAGGTCTTCCATTTGTTGGTTACGAAAGCGAAGTTTCTCGACAGTACTTGGTTGTCCTGGGGTCTTCTTAAGCTTTTCCACATATGGTGATAACTTCGTCTTCACCTTCGCCTTCGACCTAGTAGCATGGCCAGGAGTACGCACAACCTTCTTCTTCGTATCAGTCCGACGTGGCTTGCGCTTGGCCGGAGTCAAAAGAGGCGGACTATCATCGAAAACTACCTCAGGTCCCCTTTTCCTCTTCTCATGGATAGTCAGGTTCTTAGTACGAGCTCGGATGTCCTCAGTAGCGCGTCCCCCACTATCATCATCTGAGTTATCAGGTACTCGTACTGGTCGCTTCGCTGTCCGAGTCTTACGAACGAACTCCAAAACTAATCCAAGATTTGCCTCCATGCGATCGAAAAAGTCCCCGGTCTTAATCGCTAGTTGGATCTCCAACTTCTTGTCAATCTCGGCGTCACTTTGCTCATCTTTCAACTTCTTCTCATTGTGTCGTTGTTCCTTCCTTTTCCGTGCCTTCCTCTCTAACTCCAATCGTTCCGCTTTCGCGTCAGCTTCTAGACGTAACCGCTCCTTCTCAACTTTCCTTGCCTTCTCAGCCAAAACAAACTCCGAGACCGATGCAAGGCTCTTGTTCAATTCCTCAATCTTGTGTCGCAATTCCTCAGATTCTTGTTTGGTGGCCACACTCGTCGTACCAAAGCCCTTTCTCGGGGATGCCGATCGACCACGGTTCACATCGTACAACGTCGACAACTTCACTTTCGGTGCACGCTAGCGATTCGGACAATGATCAGCGTAATGACCAATTTCATTACAGCTAAAACGACGTGGAGGCGAGCGGTGTCGATCATCCCTCCTGTCATCTCGTCGGTCAAATCTGTGGTGGCGGCCACAATTTTCACTACTTGATCTTCGTCTTCCACGATCGTAGTCGCGTCGGTCTCCCATTGTCACAATGAACAACTTCAAGGTATCACCAAGATGCTTGGCTATAACCCAGCTTCGAAAAGCAGTAAATGAGCCAGAAGGTAGGAGCAAAGGCAAGAAAAGACGAAGAGATAGATGGTTCGGATAGAAATCACGCTCACTTAATCTCAGTAATTCTTCCCCAAGCGAGTTGACGTGTGTCGTAGTAGATATTAAAAGATAACATGGTGAAAACATTATGTCAACAAAAAATCATAGAGCAGTTCAAAAAACGAAACAGTTCGTCAGCCGAAAAGTTTGAGACAAATCGTAAACGAAGATAGTCATCTCAAATTAAAAGATAGAACGATTTAGCACACAATGAATAAGATTTGGCGTCCCCGACGCACGTTTCGGCAACAACCGTGTTGCCTCCTCAGGGGTTTTTTTCCTCCAACTTCCATCCCGAAGCTACTCCGTTATTCCACTTTCCCACTTCCGTCACTATCACTAGACGATATACCGGATACCGCATAGCTACAGTACCGTTAGTCCCATCGTAGAGGTCGACTATCCTGATAGTGTTCCTATTTATCACAGACAAACAGTGCCGAAAAAAACAAACAAGCCAGCCAGAGTACCGGGTTTCCCTCTACCCTCAAAACCAAGGACCACCGTGGGTTACTCAAACCGTCCGTAAACAACAAATCAAAACGCAGTCAACTTGAAGGGGCTTAAAAAACAACCAGTAGCACCCATCGAGGCGTCCAGGCCCTCAAATCAGAAGTCCAAAAACAGTCATATCAGAAGAAAAACAAAGAACAGGGTCAACCAGAAACGAAAAGAAAAGAAAAAGAAAACCCTGTCCAAAAACAGTCCTAAGAAAAGAAAAACAAGAAAAGAAAAGAAAAACAAGAAAAGGAAAGGAAAAGAAGAAAATAGAGAAATAGTGACCCATAACCGAGATGCACAGACCTGAATTCGAGTCCAGACTATATATTCTCTGCCCACGCCCACCATGTACCTCTGCATGATGTAGGGTCCTAGCTTATACGCTCTAGGGATCCTTCGGAAAGGAGGCTGCCGCAAGTATGATGCCAATGTTATCACACAGAGGGCCCTTTTAGGGCCTGTCTGGTTGGGGTACCAGTTCTAAGAAAACATCAGCATTAATTTTCTGGGGTACCCCAAGCCCAAGTAAACGGCCTGGGAACCCTAAAAAAAAAATTCGAATTTTTCAAAATTGAGGTCGAACCGGACCCTCCGAACCGGACACCGGACCCTGACACCGGACACCAGACTGTCTGGATTGGGATCCGGACGTCCGGTTGGTAACCATGGTATATATTCTTAATTATTATGTTTTATAAAAAAACTTAATTTCTTATTTTTTTATTTATTATTTTCTTATTTATTTATTTTCTTATTTATTTATTTATTTATTTATTTATGAATCAGGTCTATTATTTCATAACAAAGACTCACGGTAGCACATCTTATTGCATAAGACAGTAGATTCTATGCATATGGATCTGTGTTTCAATTGTGATTGGTGTCATCAGGCTGTGAAACCGCGCGTTCATTGAACGCGGGTTTTTCGTTTAGAAATTGAATGGAATGCACGCGTGTTCAATGAACGGGACCGAACGCGAAGTTCAATTCCACACGGGGAAAAAAAAAAAAAAAAAAAAAAAACCTAAAAAAATTCCGAAAACAAAATGTGTTATGTAGAAAAATAAAATAAACAACATTTGCCTGAGCATTACATCTAAATTCGTTACCAAATTGGAAAAAAAAAATAGAAAACAGAAAAAAGCAAAAAGTAAAAAAAAAAATGAAATTAGTGAGCGAACACGATTTGACACCGCCATCTTTGGCGATTTTTCTTTTTTTTTTGCCTTAGCAAAATGACTCCAAAATTGAGAGGCATGTACCTCATATCATACAGAAGTCTTAAAAAAAAAAATCAGAAAAAAAAAATATGTTTAGGCATCAAAATAAATGTTTAAAAAAAATAAAAAAATAATTGAACGCCGTTCAATTTTTAACGTGAATTTAAATCCGCGTTCAAACGCATATTTGAACGCGAACGCGCGTTCACGGCGTTCAAACGGTTACACAGCCATCAGGTAAGTATAATTTATCTAGCGACGGTATGTATTGTGTTACTCGTCTCCTGAAAGACACAAAAATTTATTTTTCGTTTTGTCACTTTTTTCATAAGGTTGCAGTGTATGAGTAGGGCAGGAAGTAGTCAGCAGAGTCATGTATAGTCAAGTGTTATACGTGCATCGAGAGACTTATTTTTCTTAGGGTATTTAAGTATCGTTTATTATAATTAAAGGATTTTTCAAGGTATTCATATATTATAATCTTAGGTGTTTACTTCTATGCTCAGTGTTTCTAATGAGGTTAAATATAGCCAAGGTGTGACGTACGTGGGGAACACGTTCGCTAGTTACAGTGTTAGCCCAATCGTGTCAGTATTTGCGTTTTACACCTTATGCAATTTTGTCTTAGACCTAGAAGACAAGCACCTTCCTATATGTTATTTCATGTGTAGACGTCGCCGCCACATCGCGCAACCTGTGTTCAGTGATCTATATAATGTGTAAAAACAGGTTATCAATATGCAGCCGAAGTAATCAATTCATTTTGCGGAATACCCAAAAACAACTATCAGTGCAACTCCTATTCTTAGTGCAGCGCTACCAATCTGTGCAAAAAGGCGTTTAGCATTGGGCGAAATCGACGGGGATTATTGATGGTACCGGATCGTTTGGACTACTGAAGAGAATTAAAGTACTGACCCAATTTGAGAGTGATGCTGACCAATCAGTGTACAAGAGTGCTATCATTTCTTATTGCTTAATTGAAGGTTAGGGGCGTACCCGATAGAATGATGCAACAACATGGCTAGTGCTATAAAAAATGCTTTATCGGAAAATATATATAAACATATATTTTTATCTGTAAACTTTTTTTAACGGCGCACGATATAACTTTGTTCTCGAAGGGTCGGCTTTTGTATATGTTTATAACATATCTAATTATAGTATGGTTGCTATCGGAGTCAGACGATCCGAGCGAGCGAAGGGTTAATTTGTAACTTGGCAACGTTTTTATCGGGATACTAGTATAATGGTAATATGTGTGTGGTGGTTGAGCTGTGGAGCAGGAGGATGAAGCACTGCTAGGAACGGGATAGTTTATCGCAGTTCAAGCAGTCCTTTTTTGGGAGGGGTGTGGGTGTTTTTTTTAGGGGGGTATATATATATACGACAGGCGTTTCTTCTTAAGGATAACTCGTGTTTGTCGTCCAATCGATTGCTAGAACTTACTTATAGTATGTACAATGGGAAGCTTGAACGCGTTTTCTTAAAAAAACAAAAAAAACTTAATTAAACATATAAACAACTGGTTATCATGGGAGCATGGAATGTTGCGTGTAGTGACGCTATATTTGCGCGGTAGTGTATATGTATTAGCGCAAAATTGCTTGCGTTGTATATATATATGGGGTGAAGAGGCGGGGGGGGGGGGGGGGGGGGAAGTTGGTGGGGGGAGGGGGCGGAGGGGGTGTGGAGAGGGTGAAGAAACAAGTTAGTATGTTGTCCTGCAGATGGGTTAGGATTGCAACAATGCGTCGAATCAGATGTAAGGTTGATCAACAAGGGAAACGACCCCTGTTTAGCAGCAGGATCACACATCTGGAAATGTGGGGGGAGTGTGTGGCGGTAGTGGTAATAGGGAAGCGTTAGTATGTTTCACTGCGCAGAGTTACGGGTCTCGGATACAGCGCAAATATTGGTGGTCTTGTCAGCGAGGGAGTCGACCCTCGCTTGGCAACTGGATAGATCATCCGGGTATGTGTGTAGACAGTGTAGTGGGTGTGTGTAAACACGGGCACCTCGTATATACGGGAAACAAGAACATCACATCTGTTATATCTCGCGACAGGTTAGTAGCAGCTTAAACATAGTGGTTGTCTTAGCCATCAACTCATTTGTGAGGATGCAAGAGGGGTTTGTGATTTAGATTATGATTATGGGGGAGTATTTTAGTAATTAGAGTTAGTAATTAAGGTTAGCGATGACTGTTGAGGACAGTCATAGGGGGGGTGCACGCCCTTAAGCGCGCTTTTCGTCGCCTAGCACCCATAGCAGCTCATCAGAGGGGTTAGCTTAGTACAAGCTCCTGTTAGCAACTGGGAGGGAAGAAAAAAGCGGGAGAGAGAGGGTCGGCAGAGGTTGTAGGATAGCGTTATGATTTATGGGAGAGGGGGTTAGGATTCCATACCTGAGAGGTCATGGCCGGTGTCGCTGGAAGATCAGTTGTCGCCATAGCACGAAGCGTGGTCGTGCAACGTAGCGTTAGGTGGCTTACAGTGTAAGCACAGTGCGAAGTGCACTCTCGTACACCATACCGGAGTCAGATATAGGATCAGCACGCGAGCAAGTGTGCTCGTGCGAGGAGAGAGTAGGAGAGGAGTAATGGCAGAAGGTGAAGCAGACAGTACCAAGGCACACCAGCACAAATGCGGTGTTGTGTGAAGTTGCTTGTAGTTGTAGCGGCAGGCGCTTAAGAAGAGGAGCGTGGCGGGCCGGCCTAGAGTATATGTCGTGGTATGTCATTTTACCTGCTAGGTGTATTGGGGGGGCATAGCTGGGGTAGGCTAGGGGTGGGGGTGATGGCTCCATCTTGGGGGGGAAGGTCGTGCATTTTTTTTGGTCGGGGGAGGGGTGTGTGTAAGAAGGAAGTAGGATTGTTTGGAGGGGGAAGCCGGGTATGGTTGTCCTTCTCACGTTGTAGAGTTCGTGTTTGTCTCGTGGTGGGGGTATAGTTCGCGTGTTTGCAGAAGTAGCGATGCCAGGCTACCAGGTTTGTGTTTGTTTCGACATGTGTCAGTTCGTGTAGTGGTAAGCGTTTTTTCGTCATATTCGGTGATGGACAGGCTATGGAGGGGGCGGTAAGTGCTGGGTCTTTTCTGTCGTGTTCGCGTGCATTTTTGTTTTTTTGTGTGTAAGGTGTGCCGTTTCGAAGTGGTGTTTTTTGTTGTTGTTGTTTTGTGTTTCGGCTGTGG